TGTCTCTTGCAGCTTGTAGCATTGTTTAGTGATGATTAATTTATCCCACTTTTAATGCTGCGTTTGGTATGCCTGAATGTGCCTTTTTTCTGCTAAATTTAATATTTAAAGGCAGTTTTTTTTTTTACCATTGTTCTACCAATGAACACACAATTTCTAATTTCACTTGCATCTTATATTGTAATACTGCCTCACAATGTTTACAGACACATTTATGTTCGCAAAATTAATAATTATTTATTCCTAAGTGAAAAAGGTGATTATCAGATTCAAACAATAAACTTTTGACTTCTGAAAATAGCAGAATTCCAAAAGTCTTATGATGTTTTTCTGTGCATTCTTTTGTGTACTCAGAATGTTTCTGCATTTATGTTTGTGACAGGCAACTCTGTTTTATTATGTGGAATATAAGCTTTGTATTTCTTTGAATGCAGAAATTTCTTATAAACTGTAAATGTGCACTAACAGTGTATTCTTCATTAACTCTTTTGGGATTGTTACTGCAGAAATTTGAGAAAATCTTTTGTTAGAAATAGAGCAGTCGTTCTTTAGTTGGTGTTTGAGAAAATTCTTTTAAACGTATCACTTTCACTAGGTATTCGTAAAAGTCTTTATTTTTTTCCCATGCATTTTTAATGTTAGCTATGATTTTTTTCAATGTTTTGACAATTTTTTAGACTTTTCCTGTTTTTTTCCCAATCCCGTTAATTTTTTTTTATGTTAATCTTTCATCAAAGTATAAATTCTTTGTTTTATTTTTTACTAGCTTATCATATTGCCAAACTGTTTCAAACTCTTTTGAAATCGAAGTTTTTCTGCTGGATCATCCTAGCATTGCAATTGTTTCAAAATCCATTTATATTTTTTTAGGGGAAGGGAGAAAAGATTATTGAACAATTTACATCTTTTCTGTTTTTGCTAAACATTTCATTGCTGTGCAATAAAAATCTTTCTTTGGTTGTTTGAGGAATTTTCTTTCTTTCCTTTTTTTTTTTTTTTTTTCATTTTGTCCATCATAAAAGGCTGCAAAAGTGTTAAACAATGAAATTAATTCAAGTTAGTACCTATTTTCTTTTTCACTCATTGTATATAGTTTGTTTTCTTCTAATAAATGTAAAATGAAATAATTGAAATTACATAAATAAGTAGTTTTGTGAAAAGATCATGTTTATAAATTTTTTAAACTGTTTTTTAAAAATGGTATTTTTATATAATAGTGGCTGCTATGAAAAAATGATAGTGCAACTCAAAAAAGCTGGCAAGCGAAAAAAATGCATGGAAATAACAAAAGCATTATGAAAAAACCACATTGTAAAAAAAAATTACATTTATATACATATATTTTGCATATAATTTTTCTCCAGAATACTTTTCCAGTTTGTAACACTGTATATTTAGATGCTTTCATTGATATACCAGATTTTTAGATGCTTTCCAAGTTGGGTTTGCTGGTGCCATGTCAGATGCAATCGTCAAGTTTAATAGACACATGCAACTTTCAGCAATGAATCCTGCTTCTGTCTTGATACAGGGGGTAAATAATTAGCTTTAAGATACACATCTCACTAAATGTAAAATAGAACCTTCATCTGGTGTTTTGGTATGGGATGCCATTTCTTATGATTGTTTGTTGATTTGTTAAAATTTTTGCTGTGAGGCTGAGTGGCAACTATATCATAATTTCCTTTACAGCTGAATTCAAGGTAGTTATATCACGATAATGCTGTGATGTGGCTGTAGTTGTGGTTGTGGATGTCTTCCCTTGGTTGCCCGGATCACATATATATTTTAAATACTAAATCTGAGAAATTCTAGATTATCTCATTATATATTTTTTCACAAAAGTCTGTTACAAGCTTCAAGTAAAGTATCATTTCTGGTTTATTAATTTAAGCCAAATCTAATATGCTTTTATCATATAATAATTTATCATATAAAAGTTTTAATTACTAAAATTAGAAAGTTTTAGTTATTTTCATGTAGTTTTTCATTAAAAACTACTACGAGTTTTCTGTAAAATAATCCAGTTGCCCAATTTTATTCAAAATATAATCAGTTCTTCATATGACTATAGAAAGCTTAAATACTGAAAATGGAAATTTCTGAAGTTTCAATTTGAGAGTTATCGTGGGCGAAACAATTGTCATACACATATACAGATGCTTGTAGAAACATCAGTTAAAAAATGATAAAAACATATTGTGAGGACTCTAATTCATACTTATTCACTGAAAACTCACTATTGAATCTTTGGATTGAAACATTAGCTCATTTATCTATGTATATAGGTTGCTAGGAGGTAGAAAATACTACTTTCTCATGGTGGTTTTGGAAAATTTAGGTTTTTCAAAATGAAACCCTTAGCTGAAGAGTGGAACCATGTGGAAAAATATATCCATTGCCTTCTTCAGAGATCTCATCCTACGTCATTAGGTAAGAAGCATGGGAGGCTGTATCATGAAACCTCCTTTGCACAGTCTAGACAATATGCAACATAGTCAGTGCAAGATTTACATATAAACTACACAAGCTATAGCTTAAGGCTCCCATTTTCTTGGGGCCCCCCAAAAAATTACCTGTCTGAGCAATTGTGATATATACACTCATGTCCATAAATTAAGGATATTTCGGAGTCGCGCGGAAATCAAACTCTAAAATAAATATATCACCTTTAAAATCACTACACACATCTTCAAGAATCATATGCAAATTTGAGGAAGTAACCAGATGACACCGATGGTACGTCACAGTGACGAGAGTGTAAGAGAGTGATATATAAGGAATACAGGCAAAGAAGTAAAATTGTTCGTAGGCGCTTATTAAGCATTTCAGTGCAATAACCGAATAGTTATGACACAAAGGACGCATTTGGATGATTTTTTACGTGGTAGAATTATCGGCTGTCTGGAATGTGTGTGTACCCAACTGGAAGTATCAGACAAACTTGGAATAGCCCAGAGTGTCATCTCCAGGCTTTGGCAACGATTCCAAGATGATGGTAATGTGAGTAGACGTTACACCACAGGTCGCCCCAGAGTTACAATGCCTATAGAGGACCGGTATTTTGCAGTTACTGCCAAAAGAAACAGGCGGAGCACAGCCTCAGACGTGTCTCGTCATCTCTCTTCAGCCACTGGTACGACAATTTCAAGGCAGACCATGTACAGATGCTTAGGGCAGATTGGTCTGTATGCTCGTAGACCTGTCAGATGCGTTCCACTTACTGCAACTCACTGTCGCCTGCGGTTAGCCTGGAGTAGAGAGCATGCATTGTGGACACCGCAACAGTGGGCTTGTGTGATGCTTTCCGACGAGGCCAGGTTTAGCTTGCAGTCTGATTCTCGCTGGACTTTCATATGGCGAGCTCCAGGTACCACCCGCTACACACCAAAAAACGTCATTGAATGACACCGTTACGGTGGTGCAGGAGTGCTCGTTTGGGGTGGAATTATTCTGGGTTCCATATGACCTGCAGTTCAAATTGGAACCATGACAGCCAAATCTACTGGGACGTCATTCTGGAAACAACATGTATGTTTGTTTCGGGGCGCCATGGGCGCACAATTGTGTTTATGGATGACAACGCCGGTCCTCACCGTGCAAACTCGTAGCAAATGCCTTCAATCGGAGGATATCACCCGTATGGACTGCCAGCATTCTCACCGACTTGAATCTAGTAGAGCACGTGTGGGACATGCTTGGCCGACGAGTTGCAGCCCGTCAACCTCCTCCTACATGTGTACCGGAACTTCGGAGAGCATTGCTTTTTGAGTGGTGTAATATCCCCAAGATCAGATCGATAATTTGATACTCAGCATGCCTAGGCATTGTACGGACTGTATTGCATCGTCTGGGAGACATACAATGCATTAACAATCATACCAGCCATGTAATATTGGTTTTTTGTAAATATATATATATATATATATTTTTGTAATTTGCTGCAGGGAGAAAAAATCACTATTTTTTTTAATAATATCAAACATATAACATCTTTTTTTGCTCTTTTCCTTTTGTTTAATAAATAAGCTTTACAAATAAGTCAAATTTGTTTTGCTTCTAACTCTTCCTTTGCCTGATTTTGCATTATCCTTAATTTATGGACATGAGTGTACTTAAATATACTGCAGCATTATTTGTCCTACATGATGTGGACATGAATCTTGTAGGAGAAGTTAAGCATTTTCATCAATATGTTAGACATATAGTCAAGCCTATGGTTCAGCAGAACATGATAATCTGACACATCAGGATCTGTATATGGTAATATTTAATGATCGTGTCCAACCACAATTCACTAATGTAGAAGCAATTTAGAGATTGTTTCTTAGTATGATAGTTGCAAATTGTTCGGGATGAAAGATCTTTTTCTCAGCTGAAGAGGATAAATGAATTTAGAACAACATTGACTCAAGATAAATTATGTTCCTTCAGTCTCATTTGAAGAGAAAGGGCAACTACACAGTTTATCATTTGATGATGTCATCAGTGACTTTGCTATGGCAAAGGCAGGAAAATATTTTAGTAGCAAGTCTAAATCCGACCTTGAACATAGTTATTTTAATATGTGTGGGGACTACAGAGCATTAACATTAAATGCATTGATTGTCATGTAATATGTATTTGTATTTTACAGGTATGCAAATAAAATTAATTAAGACTGACTGACTATGTATGCACTTTTTTTTTGGTTTAGAACATTTTAAAAAAAATTTGAAGTAGTATATTAAATGAAAATTTGTTACTTAAAATATAACTTCATTTTCTATTTCTAAAATCTAAGTTTTTTCTGTCAGACATGTATTAAACATGTATTAAAATCTAAGTTTATTCTGTCAAACATTAGCTTTATGAAAAGAAGGAAACAAAATGTTAGTTTTGAAGAATAAACATGAAATTTATTCTTTAATTTTAAGCTAGGTTTTTAAAAATATTTTTTTTAAAATTATTTTTATTTATTATGGTGTAAAAGACATTATAAGTATGTAAATCTTTTTTAGGGTCCCTCATATGTAAAATGGCATCAAGACCAACTGCATCTATCATAATTATTGGAGATGAAATTCTGAAAGGTCAGACAAAGGATACTAATTCCCACTTTCTTTGTCGAGAACTGTATAAGTGTGGTGTCAAAGTACCTTGTATTTCTGTTATTCCTGATGAAATTGATGTTATAGCTGAAGAAGTATTATTGCATTCTAAGAAATATTCTTTTGTTTTAACATCTGGGGGTATTGGGCCCACTCATGATGATGTTACATACGAGGGTGTAGCTAAAGCATTCAAAGAAAAACTTGTACTCAATAAAGATTTACAAAAAATACTTAAAAAGCTATGTCGTAGAATTGGTTTAGATAGCAGGGCTGCTTTTAAAATGTCTCATGTTCCTGAATCTTCAGAAATTCATCATACTAGTAATGAAATGAACCAAGCTTTTCTACCTATTGTATCTGTAAAAAATGTCTTTATTTTTCCAGGTATACCATCCTATCTAGAATATGCATTTATTCATTTAAAACCAATATTTTGTACTACAGCTACTAATTTCTTTACTCAAAATTTATTTGTAACTTTAGATGAATTTTCTATTACTGATATCTTAAATGCTGCTGTTAAGGAATATGAGAATAGAGTTAAGTTTGGATCATATCCAGAAATTGGCAATGAATACTATCAGGTGAAATTAACTTTAGAAGCTGATTCCAAAGAAGCTGTTGCTGAAGCAGAAGCATTCTTAAGAAGTCATCTTCCACATAATACAGTTGTGGGACAGTATTCCCCAAATTCAGATGAAGCATTGCAGAAATTTTTAAATATATGTGATAAGGAACCTGACATAGATTTTATAAAAGCCATTGAAGCAAGCAATGCTGTTCTACAAGAATGTGTAAATTTATATAAAGTTGAGGGAATCTGTTTGAGTTTTAATGGTGGTAAAGATTGCACTGCACTTTTACATCTAACACACCTTTTTCTTGCTAAAACATTTCCTACAAAATCAGTAAGATTAAGAGTTCTGTATGTCCAAAGCAAACAATCTTTTCCAGAAATTGAAGAATTCATTCAACTTTGTGTCCAAAGGTAAAACATGTTCTTACTCTCTCTCTCTCTCTTTTTTTGTTCATTTTTATTAGCTATTTTTCGTTTGTAAATTCATATTAGACTATCATAAATGAATGATATTTAAGAAACTTCAAGCTAGAAGTGTTTCTAGAAGTTTGTTGTTCATTTTCTAGGGCATTTAGAATCTAGGATGGTTAATTTTAAATGATGGGTAATGATGTAAAATTATGTAGATATTAAAAGTATTTTTTTTGATAATTATATTTATAAAAATTCTATTATAGTAGTATATTTGTTTTTGGACACTTGTACTTTTGAAATTTATTTGGATAGATCTTGTATTAAATGTTAAAACATAGATTTCAGTTTTTTTTCCCTGATATATGATCTTTTTTTTCCTATTTTAAATTTTTTCTTGTTGTACAGTAAATATCATCAAAATATTTCACATAATAAAATAATTTGTTCAGAAGGTATTGCTCGGTTCCTCACATAATAATTCGAACACTCCAAATTTATATTGAGATGTGTTGATATACAGTCAAAAGTCGTTAATCCGGACTCGTCGGGACTTCGGCGAATGCTACTTTGGTAGATGGTTGCACGGATTTTGGTGATTTTTTGGCGATTTTTTTGGCGAGTAATGCGACTTATGGTAAACCCATTGCTGGATAAATTATTTATGGTAACCGATACTTTGTCATTTTATTTAAAAAATAATGCGTGTTATTATGCATAAATTCCGTGTTTTAAATATATTATTTATAGCTTCTAAATATTAAAAATTAATTTAATTTTGCATTTTATATTGAAATAAAAAATTTATTGTTTATGATATTTTATGAAATTTTATGCTGTGGATGATGATGTAATCAGTGATGTCACCTTACTTTAAAACACAGCCAACTCTATAAGTCGGCTGTGACTTTAAAAGTAATTGGTTTTAATATCTATAAATTAATCTAATGTTTTAAACATTATTTATGGTTGTTAAATATTAAAATACAATTTAAATTTGCATTTCTTTTTTAAAATGATTTTATTAGGTATGATTATTTAAATAATTTTAATTCTAGGCGTGATGTAATCAGCTCTCTGATTGGTTATAGAATATTTGTGCATTAATGAGCTGTAATCAGCTCCCTGATAGGTTGCTGAAAATTTGTGCATTACCGCGCCATTTTAAAATTTAATTCATATATTCGAATTCCTTCAAAAATGTCTCCTTCAAAGATTAATGTTGTTTTTGATAAGTACCAAGAGTTTTTGGTTTCGGAATCAAAAAATTGTCCTTTGAGACCTTATTTTCGCCAGCCTGGCTTTCCTAAACAAAGATTCTTACAAGGGTCAGAGGAAATTTATTTAAAATTTTTAAAGGAATCTTCGCTAATTGCTTCTTCAATGAAGTGCGAAAATGTATCTCACAGATGAAGATCGTTAAAAGAGCCAATTCTGAGATTGTGGTCATGTCGGAAGAAATAACCGTTTATGATATTGTGGTCATGTTGGAAGAAATAACCGCTGTAATGGTAAGAAAATTATTAGACATTCCTTCATTTTTTACCGAAAATAAACTAATTGCTGTCATTTTAGCTCTAGTTTACGAAGCGTTCTTATTTACTTATTTTAAAGTATTTAATTTATGTAATATTTTAATTCTTTTAAACGTTGGTATGATGGTTTTTAATTCGATATTCAATTTACGTAATATTTTAATCCAATTAAACATTGCCACAATGTTTTTATAGTGGTATTTTTATTCTATTTCTGTGCTATATGAAAGTAATAATTTAACCTTTCTTTAGTATTTTATATTCGTAGTAAATGTATTTATTTACATTTGCTTGCCATCTTAAAAAACAACGTTTTTAACAAAAAAAAAAAAAAAAAAAAAAATGAATCCATTATTTTTAACGATATTTATTTTTTTAAAGTTTCAAATACTTTACTATATGGAAAATAACGTAAAAATGGCGTTTTTCAAGATGACTGATGATTATAAAAACTGCGCCTACAATTGCGGCAAAGTAAATCGCCAAAAATCCGTGCAACCGTCTACCAAAGTAGCAACCTTCGGCGATTCCGGATTATAGATCATCAATTTAAATCTCGTAAGATGGCATGCAGAAATTCTAAAATTAAAAATATGAAACCGTGATTTATGAAATAAAGAACAATTATGATTTAAAGGGTGTCAAAATTTACAAAAAAAAGCTTAATATTTATTTGTTTACTTTATTAAACATTTCTTTCAATGTAAGTTGTTTAAGTTGCTTCGTTTCATGTGATAATACTTTCTCTTTAATTCTATAAACAGACATAATTTCTTGTTCATTTACAAAGTTCCGCTGTTCAAGTCCCGTAATTGCTGTGCCGAGAATACCTACTAACTTGCCAATCGACATTTTTTCGTTTTCACTAACCTCTCTGTCACCTTCTTCGTGTCTTTATCCATTTTTTGCAGCAATTCCACTTTTTGTTTGATGGACATCGAAACATACTTTCGTTTTGTATATCCTTTGGGAACTCCAGCATCGGAAATTCTATTTGACATAATCGAAAGTTCAAGTTTACTTTTATAAAATTGCTTACAGTCTGCAAAAAATAATAAGCCGGACCCAACTCAAAGATTAAAGAACAATGCAATCATCAACATTAACTGAAATAGATAATTAGATAATTTTAGCTTATACCGTCCGTTATACATAAAACGTGCATGCGAAAACGTATTCTGCGCTTGCGCACATGCATATGCACAGTTGTAAAGGTCTTGCGCGCAGGCGTGAACGCCTATGCGCATGTGTCAACGCGGCACATGCGCAGGAAGTTTTTAGCTTTGAGGTCCGGATTATAGATCATTCCGAATTACGGGTGTCCGAATTAACGACTTTTGACTATAATGTTTTTTGTTATAATTTTTTTCATTTAAATGAAAATAAATCACAAGAATTATGTCTGCATTTGGAAATTTTTATTTGTTTAGCAAAATATATTAATAGTTTTATATCAGAAATGAACATAGCAAGACATTGCAAATTAATGTCCAATTCTGTGAGAAATTTAATTCATCTCTTTTTAATAGGTAATAAAAGTATTCAAAATATCAAAAATGTCTTTGATGTAAAGTGTTTACTTTTGATATAAGAAAATGATACAAATTGTGTGGAATTGTTGAAAATGCACTGGATGCACATTTGAAGGCCGACACCAAGGAATCGCGTATTTATTCTATGGAAGTCAAACACCACCTAAAAATTAGCACTTCCAGTAGAACGGTGCTTCGGTACACCAGGTTACCTGGGGCAGAGGCCCTGCCCCTTGTAGAACATTTTAGCAGTTTCGAATGTTGTTAAAAAGTAGCCTATTTTTACATAGAATTCAGTTGATAAAAATTTGGATAAACTGGGAAAATTACCTAACGATTAAGTTGTAGAATTTAAAGATGAAAAACACTAATACGGAGAAAGCTGGTGATCAAGAGCTGGTTGCAGATAAATAAAGTTACTCTCTATTAGTGGATTCCATTAAAGTCTGAACTGTTTGTAGAACTGCTTGGAGTTTCTCCGCGATATTCACGTTCTGCAGAAAGCTAAGTATCTCGAGTAAGATCTTGCCAAGTTCCTTGATGTTTGGGTTTGAAAAGCATGATAAAAGTCCTTTAAAAATACTGGGCACAGAGCTTCTGTTATTTTTGACTTTCTCGCTGTAGGAGGTTTTGTTGGTTACCTGAGCAGGACGATTGTCACATTGGGATGTTGCGGAAAGTTCTCCGATGTCACCTTCGGTGCAGATTGTCGCTGAATTTTTTGTGGTGCCTTCTGAAATTTCCTCTTGTAAGCCTCACATCTACGAAAACTGCTCACATGGTCCTTTCCACAGTACATACAGCACAACTTCTCTTCAGGTTTTTTGGAGCATGTATTGCTCCGATGAGCTCCACCGCATTTTACACAGCATTCTGGGTTGTTACACATGTGCTAAGTGTGACCAAAGGCATGGCAGCGGAAACACTGTGCAGGCTGTTTCCTTGGCTTGTATTTTTCCACACGAATATCGAAGCTGAACATATTATTCAGCCGATGGATCTGCTCTTCATCAATGTTACGCTTCGGCTCGATAAAGAAAATCGGGAGCTTAACTTTCCGTCCTTCTTTCTGCTCAGAAACTGTTTCACTTAGACGACCGGTAACTTTCTTCTTATCAGGTCATTCTGGATAGCCTCCTCCTTAATAGAGGCAGGGAGGTCCTTAATGATCACTCTGATGTTCCTCTCGCTTAGCAGTTGAAACGTATGAAAAGCAGTTCCTTTATCAGTTAAGATTTTCATCATTTTCTTAAAATCACCTTCGCTTTTAACATACACATGAATTGTTCGCATCTTAGTGCTTGATTCATATCCGGCATCACAGTTTTGCTCGAAAAGTTTGTTGATTTCCAACCAATCAGGAGTGTCGCTAGGGAGCACAATCTGCGGGGGTGTGTCAGCTGCTGGCGCTCCTCCTTCCTCCTTCTCTGTGCTGATTTGATGTAATGCCTGGAAATGGTTACTTTGTGAAACTTCAATCTTTTCCACATTTTTCTGCACCTTCACTGTTTTTTTGAGTGATTGCCATTTCATTTCTGTCTCTCCTTTATTTTCCGCATGGTTATCAGTCTTCTCAGAAGTTTCTCATGTTGAAATCTTCTTGCCATTCCATTCATTCATTAACTCCTCAGTGGTTGGCATTCTGCAAAATTCTTCCCAAGAAGAGGCTCCACGCATTCTGGCCATTTGCGTCAGTAGATCCATCCCTTTTGCATTCGGCAGGTTATCCATAGACTGACTACTAGAGGGTTCTTCACCTTTCACAGCCATTACTTTTGCCTTCTTGCTTTTATTTTTCTTTAACTAGAAATAGAAATTCTAATAGAAAATTCTCTTTCCTCAGCGGGAAGGTCTTGTTTGACTGGAACAAGACTTCAGACTCTAGTTTGCTAACTTCCACATCCGAACCGTTGTTTCTCCAAAAAAGACATCTTAATTTACCCAAAGGTAAATACTTAAGCAAAAATTCAATCACTGACCACCTACGGTTACTGGGTCAGATACATAGTAAAAACTATGAGAGATCCGCTCTGCGAACTACACACCTGCAGTCCTCGACTCACTCACAAAAATTAGCACTGTAAACATTAAACTTTCCAGATTTAGAAGAGCAGTTTGTAATAAAAGTTATCCCTGAGGTTTTTAGAAGAATAATTTAAGACACATGGATACAATGAACAATCAACAAGCAGGACATTGTTTGTCAACAAGAAAACTAGGAAAATACACCTGGCATTCTCAAAACCCATGATAAGTAAAGTGTCATCATATTGGAATGATGCTATATTTGCAAAAATGTTGAAATTTAGTATATAATTGGGGCCTACAGATGGATTAATAGGTGGCAAAATCTGGATTAAGAATTGAATTTGAAAAACCTGTTGCCTACTGTTAAGCAAGGGAGTGGAGGCGTAATGTTTTGGGGGATATCTTACTGCCTTTGGAATAAGAAAATTAATGTTTCTTGAAAATAATATGGATTGTGATAAATATATACATATTCTTAATGGAAACCTAAAAGCATTTGTGTGAAATCTTCAAATGCAAAATACATTCAAGTTTTATTAGAACAACAAAATTTCTTGATATTCTTTAAATCCTATGGAATATTTATGGAGTGAGATGGAGAAAGAATGTGGATGGAAACATATTTCTTTGAAAGTTCTAGAAGCAATTCCTATGGAGGAACCTTACAACATTCTTACACACTTACACACACACACACACACACACACACAGAAAAAAAAAAAAAAAAATTGGATCATGAATAGTGTAATTTTAATTGAACGATATCCAATAAAGTATTGAATATCCCATTATTTTTATGTTTTTATTCAATATGAGCCATTTATTCAGAGTGCATAAATAGTTATGCGAGTTAATTTTGAGAACTTTTTGGAATAAATTTTGTTTTAACTAAAACACTTCAAATAACTTTTTTCAAAACCAGTAGGTTATGTGAAAGAAAAATAATGTGGTTTTGCTAATATTTAGTAACTAATATTTGAAAATAAAACTAAAAAATTCAAATGTACAAAAAACAAATGTGAACCACTTTATATTGTATTGTATTTTAAATTTGATATCAGCAATGTTTATCATGGCTAGAATGTTCTGTTTAATAGTTTGATTAGCTTGGAGAAGAAACTATTAGTGACATATTGCAAAAACATCCTTTTAAAGATGCCTGGACATTTTTGACACTTTATTTCACAACTAATCTTTTATGATCTAAAGATAAATTGCAGTTGAAAAAAAAAAAGTATGTGTTATTTAATCATGGTGCATTAAGAAAATGTATGATACATTTAATTAGTATAAAAGCGATCTGCCGATGAATATGAAATGGTTCATGAGTTTTCAAGAGAAAATAATTAGAAAATTATTCTGATGATGTAGTTTAGAACACAGTAAATAGTGTCAAAGTATATTTTATTATCAATACGTTATTTTTTAAACATTTTTTGACTTCATTTCTCCTCTTGATATTGTCCTAAAATTTCAAGACATTTATGAATATTCAGTATTAATTATGATGCATATTTGATAATAGGCTATGTTAATATTTCTGCCAAAAACTGATAATTTTTCTTACTTTATGAGTGAATTATTATGTGCATAAATATAATTATTTTATAATATGTCCTTAATATAATGACTAACAAAATTACTGAATTTTGAGTTATTCACTTAACTGATATACTTTTTGATGGTCATCAATGAGCTTAGTTCGCATTTCAGTTCACCACAGTGAGCACAATTGAACACAGCTCACATTACAAATATGACTGACAGATATCGTATGTATTTGGGGAGAGAGAATTTCATAATCTCACAACAGCTGAAGGGTTAAAATTAATTCACTGTATTTTATTACATGAAATTTATCTTGTTTAGAGAGGGGAAAATATTGTCATGGTTACATTTTATAAGCACTGTGAAGGCATTCTCCATTGGGTCATCGGAATATTTTCATATTTTTCACTTTACAAAATCTTAAATGAGTGGGTAAAGTAAGGATTTTCTAGCAGTTTTTAAAGATGCTCCTTGATGGGAATTATATATTAAAAAGTTATTAAAATTGCGATGCTATTTATCATTTGTCTTTAAACATAATCATTTATTAAAAATAATTTTTTGAATTTCCTTTTAAATAGTATCACTATTTTTTATGGATTTGTACTTATTCTGTGCTTTGACATTTGGATTTTTATACTCTAAGGTATAACTTGGATTTGCTGACTTATAATCAACCAATTAAAGAAGCTCTTCATAAACTGCAAATTGAGCATCCTTATATTAAAGCTGTTCTTATGGGCTCTCGCCGAACTGATCCTCATTGTTCTGATCTCAAATCTTTTCACATGACAGATGATGACTGGCCACAGTTCATGAGAGTTAGCCCCCTTATCAATTGGAGTTATCCGCAGGTGTGGACATTTTTGCGTTCTTTGGAAGTGCCATACTGCAGTTTGTATGATAGAGGGTAATTTGTAAATTTTTTTCTATCATATATTTTAAAATAATGCCAGAAAATAAAATCTATAATTTGTTTCAACAGAATCTGTTTTTTTTTTTTAGTTTGCTTTTGTGCAGTAAATTGTTTCATATTTATTTATTAGTAAATTTTGTTAGATATATCGGTGCTTCTTTGTTATAGTGACAATCAATCGAGATATCTCGGCAAAATCTTGCGTGTTTTTATACCTTACTACATAGTCATATCTTGGCACAATGTTGCATTTTTGCTGTTGCCGCATTTCTTATATTATTCATTTTTAATGAGGTTTTTCAAATTCATATTATTTATTTAAATGTTTGTTCATTGCTTTTTTTTTTCTGAATATGATGCTAACAATCCTTAATTTACCAAGTAATGAAGTGGATGCTATATTATTTTTTCAAGAAAGAGGTTTTTACCTGACCAACAAGTATGTGAAAATAGCCACAACATGAAACCATTTGGAAGCGCAATGTTAAAAACTGCAAAAAGAAGAAGGGCCTCCATGTTGGAAATTGGTTCAGCAGTTCCAGAATATCATTTATCACTGCTATTAGATTTATGTATTGTTGGGCAGAGGAGTTGACATCCATTAAATGGTGTAACTAACAGCGTACGAGTATTACGTGTGAAAGTGGTGCAGTTGAGTGGAATAATTACATGTGATAAAATAACATTAATAAGGATAAGGATTCTTAAAACTATTCTTAGGAAACTACATGCGAATATAATTGTTATTATTATATATTGTGTTATTTATTTTTACATTCGAGCTTGGCGAAATTATAACAGATCTTGGTGCAAATATATAATTGTCAAATATGGTTTGGGGCAGCTGTAACAAAGAAGTACTGATACAGTGCTGAAAATAAGAAAATTATTTTTGCTAGTGTGATTCATTTAAAATGAGTCTTTTTATTTCTACTTATACCACTGCAGTACACAGTTCTGTATTTATCTGTAGAAGTTCTTCCCCACCAGTGCTTACATAAAATATTGCCCGATCTGTTCATAATATAATGTAGAAAAATATTAAAATTATTACTACTTATAAGTTTAATGTTGTCGTTTTCATTGAATCTTAAAATTTTGAATTAAATATGCATTCTGTAATTTTTATAATCAGGTATATTATGACCTAAATTTAAAGTGTACCTAGTTCAAATAGATTAAAAATTATTTAATGTTTATAGGTTATAATTTTGAATTTAGAATACGTTTACTGTAGTGCATTTAAAATGGCAATTGATGATTTTGGATGTTACTATGTTTTGGAAGTTAATATTTTTATTTGATGTATTTTAGTTAATGTTGATTTTGTATATTTATGTGCTCCTTTGTTCAAAAAGTTCATGTAAAATATTTGTAAGGCAGTTCTGTCTGAAATGTAAAAATTATTACCTGCTCAGGTTTGATACAACATCCTTTCAAATATTACTTTAATTAATACATTGCATGAAATATTACTTTAATTAATACATTAATATATTAAATTATACTCATTTTGTACACTTGCTCCTTTGTTCAAAAGGTTCATGTAAAATATTTATAAGGCAGTTCTGTCTGAAATGTAAAAATTATTACCTGCTCAGCTTTGATGCATCCTTTCAAACATGTACCTTTGCTGTAATGTTTTTGATATTCTTGAAGGCATCAAGAGTGTGTGTGTATCTGTCATAGTCTGTCTGAAACTGTTGATCACATAGAAATATAGTGATAAGTGGAGTTAGAAGGGGATAAATCTAGAAATTAAAGAGACAGTTATGACATGTTATAGGGATCTGTTTCTGATCAAAGAAACCCAAGCTTCTTTGCTTAAATGTTCTCTACTGACAATAAAGCATCATGCTGAATAGTTGAAAGATGCTATAACTCTGTTTGTACTGCAACATGAAATATATTATTCCAGATGATGTTCTTTCATATATTTCTTTTATAGGTAGTATGCTAATGCCATCTTGCAACCTAATTCAAATATTGATAGCTTTATGAACTTGGCATGGCTTTTCTACAAAGAGTTTGAACAGAGAAATATTGAAATTGATTAATCTGTTAAAAGTTTAATTTTATTACTGTTATAGGTATACATCTTTGGGTTGCAAACACAATACCCTTCCTAATGACAACCTTATGCATTCAACAAAAGATGGTAAAACTTATTACCTGCCAGCATATCTCTTAAAAAATCCTGAGGAAGAAAGAGAAGGTCGATCTGGCTGCAGACCATAAGAATTTAGGTAGCTCTTAATTTTTTAATTGAAGTTAATTGAAGTAGATACCATTAAAAAGAGATTATTTTTAGTTTAATTGTTTTGCTTTTATTTTTATTCATAAGTATAACACACATGCTTAAGTACAAGTTTGTATCAAATTTGCAATTTGAGATTTGATTTGAAGTTGTGTGGGAAGTTCATGATTTCAAATTTTATTAATAAGTATTCATTTTTTTTCCTGTTAATATTTTAAATTGCTTTAAAATTAGTTCCATTAGTTAATCACAATTTCTCCATTTCTGTTTCTTAGGTTTAGTAATTTTTTTTCATTTTAATATTTTTAAAGATTAGTTACATCTCTAATTTAATCACTATTTCACCATTTCTTATATTTAGCTCCTTAAAATTTTAAATCCCAGCACTGTTGTAACATGTTAAAAAGTGTTTGTATGTTTGACCAAATTAGATACACTGGTGGACAATTGCTATGGACAGATCACAGACAGCTACATGGTGAGTTGTAAGTGTATTTGGATGCCAACTGAAATAATTCCAGAATACTAGGACATAACAATGAAGATAATTTATTGTACTCTGGATTCTAGAAGGCTTTAAAAAGTGTACAAGAAACAAAATGGTTATATTGTGCTGAATACATAAAAGTGAAAAAAATGCTATTACTATCTGCAGGCATACTGGCGTAAGATATCAGTTCAGGATATGATGATCATCATTGAGGGCGATGCAATATTCCACATTTCATGTCATACTTTGCACATTATGCATGGATGAGGGTGCCCTTGTGTATTGGCGGGCATTGTTGACCAGCAAGACTTCTCCCCAAAGTATCTCACAATTTCAGTGAGATTCGGATCTGGAGAACGTGCTGGCCATACTAATACATAATACCATACTAGGTATTGAATATCCTCGCTGTCTAGACCAGTATTTCCCAACCTTTTTTTGTGCTATACCCCACCTACTCCTCTCGAAAATTCTTATGCTCCCACTAGCTTATACATAATTTTTAATATTCAAAAAATGAAATGTTCATGAAAGAAATTTGAATGATAAGTTTTAGGGAGAAATCACTAGGAAATTTTATGAGCAAACACAGTAATTAATCTTTCAAAACATATAATGGAGAACTGAAATTTAAGTACAAAATAATTTTAATGAAAGTTTTTTCAATACTTAAAGCTGTTCACATATTTTTTAGATGATTTTCATTATATTTGCAGAAATATTTTAACTAAAATTTTTGTGTTTTAAAATACCCCATTTGAGAACCCTTATTCTTCACTATCTTTCTACACCATAATTTTCAGCACAATGAAACGTTTTTTAGTAGCGGAAGAGGTATTTTATCATATTCCTTTTGAACAGCTTTCCAAAGTCGAAGGAGAGTTCCAGGTTGATGTTTTGACAATCCGTTTTTTAAAAGTCCAAAAATTTATGGATGATACATCAGGAGTATGGCTTTGATACATGTTTCTGTTCCATTTTTTGATACATCAGGAGTATGGTTTTGATACATGTTTCTGTTCCAATTTTCCCAGAAAATTAGTGGACTTTGAGATGTGGCTGCTCACTTTGTCTTGATGCAGTTCTACTGATTGATGGCACAGTGAGTAAAGAGAATTTATTTCATATTTGAAAATTGGGTATGAAATATGTTCCTGATAATACGTGGAGTTGAACTTAACAGTTTTCTGCATTTTTTTAAATTGTTTGTCGTTATATCAAAAATCAGAAGCAGTCATAATCAATAAATCATAAATTATTTAGATTCGTTGTACCATGTTCTAAGATTTTTTCTCTTTCATGATAATAAATAGATCTCTTTTTATTTTTCTTCTCTCAGTCATTTAAATATATGCAAGATTCATCTGTTGTGGCAACATTTATCCATTTTTATATGTATAATTGTTTCATATAGAAAAATCTGCAGCACGTCCTGTTTTCGATTATATGTCGTGGAGAAAGATGATGCACATTACGTTTTTTCACCTTTTTAAGATTCAAATCAGCATTAATCACTTTATCTACAGTTGATACTGAGTATTTTAATAATAACTGTCCTTTGACTTTGATGCTTTTCTTTTAACATTACAGTTCTTACCTTTGCAACATTTGAAACATTGTGTTTTTTCCTTGGATATGTATTATGAACAATTTTTCTCTTTGATGGTTTTTTTCTTTCTTATTGACAGTATCATCTATCATTGCTTTAGATACCAAAAAAACCAAGGCTTTCACAGCATTTTTTAATAACTAGATATGAATACTTTTCTTCGGAAAGAGCACAAACATAGCCTTTAGTCTATTGCTTCTTTAAGAAGGCCATTTTGCATGAAAACCAAATTGTCAAACAGCAGACGATAATTTACACTTTCAAAAATATAGTTGCATTTAAAAAATTTTTTTCCATGCAGGCGATTTTGTTTTTATAGCAAAGCAAAGTCATCTAAAATGTGTGTGAACAGCCTCTGTATTATTTTTAGTAATTATTTATTATGTAAATTTAGTGAGATCCTTGTTGGAAAGAGATTTTGTGCCAGATTCCAATTTGGTTAACTTCAGTTTCAAGGTCTCCCTGTTTTATTATATCCAATCGATATCCCTTTTTTTAATAGCAGCAAATCATTTATGGCCCTAAATCCACATTCAGTTAAATATGAGATTAAAATGGTTACAATAGTTCTCTTACACATTTTGTTGCATTTTTATATTTGATTTTGGCTTCATCATAAAGCCATGCCATTGCTCCTTTTAAATTGAATAATGTTTTATTTGATTCATCATTTTGCATTTCTTCAAGTTCTTCTTGATACTACAAATTTGAAATATCAGCCAAATCCATTAACATTGGCTACATCATCCAAGCGGTTTCAGATCAGAAAGTATTTCTTTCAAATTAGCGGATAAAGTTTTCAGATGATCGACAATAACATGTTTAGCGGTTTCAATCACATCACATATAAATGGAACTTTTCAGCCAATGAAACTTTTCAAAATTTTTGTTGTAAATATATGCCTGACATAATTCAATAAAGATAATGAAACTAAGTATCTTTGCTTTTGCATCGACAAAAGTTTTATTTGCTCCTTGATGTTGTTTATTTAATATATAAGTTTAGTTTCTTAAAGATAGTTTTTTAGTTTCTCAAAGATATTGGCTAAATAACTCACAGATGCCTTACCATCAATCATTAACAGATTTTTCATTTCAGGTTGTCACTTAAAAAATAACTAATAGTATCAAATAGTTCCAAAAATCTTTTCAAGCAGTTCCCTTTCGAGAGCCACCTTACTTCAGTGTGAAGTATAAGTCTCATATAGTCTTCTTTCTGTTCTTCACAAAATAATGTGAAGAGATGTTCTTATTTGGCACTAGCCTTAATAACATTGATTTATTTTATAACTGAATTTAGTACTTCATTTAGAACAGGCAAAATGTTTTTAGTTACCAGGTTTTCCCTATGAATAACACAATGCACCAGAAGCATTTCTGGATTCTCATCTTTCATCAATTTTAAGCAACCCATTTTGTTCTCCATCAAATTAGGATCACCATCTGCAGCAAGATGTTATATTTTTCATTAGCGTATTTTTTACATCTGAATTATTTTTTAGCTTACTATGAATATCTTTGGAGGTTGTGGTGCTTTCTAATGATTTGCAGAACGTTTCTTTGGCAAAATCACCTTTATATCTTGCGTGAGTTATATGTACGGCCTCACTGTCTCTCAAAATTGATTTATCCATTTGCATAAAAAACTTTCTTGTTTTCACCTTTTCAACAAGTTGTATTTCAATATCCTCACTCATTTCATCTATTCTTCTGCTAACAATATTGTTACTTAGTGGCATAGCTTTAACATTTTTGTCATCTTTCTCTAGAACCATTTTAAGAAATGCCGATATTGATGGTTTGATTAAATTTCCCCTGTATGACTTTTTCCAGATTTAGAGATGAGTAATGAAATTTGATAACTAGCCTTAAGTAAGCCTTAAGTGAAGCTTAAGAGTATGATTAACAGTTGCATTATGAGCAGTAAATAGACTTTAATGTTACTTTTTTTGAAAATTTTTCTTTAAAATTTGAAAATAATTCAAATCTGAATTAATATGAGCATTATGTTTTGCCTTCAAATGCACCTCAAGATGACCTCGTTTTATTGATCCGTTGATTAGGCATTGTTGGCGTAGATGACCACTCATTGTGTACAGTGGGTATGAATCTGAATTTTAAATATTCCACCGAATACTGATGAACTTATTTCTTGTTTGCACCACTCATTTCACTAAGGGCTGAAAGAAATAAATATAAGCTCAATTAAAAACTTCACACCACTAAATATAAACAAAGCTAAAAGCAGCTGCTGTTGTCATTCAAGGGAAGAATAATATACCTGCTGTCAATCCTACAGTAAAAAATAAAATGAATTTATTGGCTGACATGTGCTAAAAATATCTAGAAAGCGTAATATGTCAGCTATTTAAATGCCCTTGAAAGCATTTAAATGTCCATGTCTACAGCAGAAATTCTTTATAAAGTATTTAAAATGCACTGCAATTCAAAAACTTTTTTACGTATACATCACTTACATTATTCTTTATTTTTGGCATAAAAAATGAAATTTTGAAAAATTTCGACATCTCAAAGAAAATTTGGAAATCTTAAAGTACTTTGTCCCCTTAAACTCTGGATGTGACTATTTTCAAATTGCTCCCTTAACAATCAAATTACCTCCTCTGTGGGATGTGGGCTTCACGTTGGGAAACACTGTTCTAGAAAACCCTGGAGAGTGACTGTTCAGTTACATGTTATATTGTAATCCATGAAAACAAATTTATCACCAACAGCACCACAGAACATCATTAGTGTATTGTAGGCCAATCCTAGTCCTGCAACCGCTTGTAGGGGTGTGTGACCATTGATCATAATGCCAGCCCATACAATGATACTGCATCTTGGACATCGGTCCTTTCCTGGATATTTTCTTGGTGATAAGTACTAC